CATTCATTCATTCATTCATTCATTCATTCATTCATTCATTCATTCATATTTATATGGCCTCCCATCTCACAAACAAGTGACTCTGGGCAGTGTACAACAAAGCTAAAAACAATATATAAACAAGTATTAATGTTATTATTAAAACTTCAAAATCATAAAAGGGACAAAATTAAAAAATATTAGGTGAAGAGCTAATAATCTAGCTAATAGATTATTGTACAACCTATAAGCAAAATCAAATGGCATGAGGAACCCCACTGGTAATACCCATTATTCCTGAGAACAGTCTCTCAGAGCTTTCTTGGATGCCAGAGAGGGTGTTTCACTATTCCTTTTTGCCATCTTGGAAACCTCGTGGTTCACTCAGACCTATTGATAACTCCTTCATGTCCATAGTTGGTTCAACTTTGACTTCCCAGCAAGAGGCATTTAGAATCAAAGGACCTACGTTCTCCTAGAACTGGACACCTGTTTTCTCTTCTAATTCATTCCAAACTTTCCCTTGTATCCAGCCCAAACCTATAATCCTAAAGAAATCTTAAAATAGAAAGCAACCTTTAAATAGTTCAGTTGTTAACATAAAATAGTAGAGATTTTGTAGATTTGTATTAGTTATGCACTCACACCCATAACGATACAAAAGTGTGTCTGTATCTTCTAATATCTGCTTCTTATTTTCATATATGTGTGTGTGTGTGTGTGTGTGTAATCCCCAACACATATGCATATACACACACACACACACAGGTTTCAAAAAGATTTTTTTATCCATACAGCATTCCTGCAAGGCAGGTTAAATTGTGAATGATTTGCCCATGATTATCGATGAACGTTGCTGCTTAGCAGGGTTTTTTTCATCTAGTGCTTCCCAATTAGTTGTAAACTTTTCACTGCTGTATCATACTGATTTCATTACTGCAATCCTACACGCTATTGTTTGGGAGGAACTTCCATTGAAAGTATTGGGCCTGTTCCTACATCAGTGTGAACAGGATGGCGGTTGGTCCCATTCCAGTGTACAAAATTGCATTGCTTTGGTTGGAATGTGTCCATCATCAGTCTTGTTTCCCACTCATGTGTCTTCTTCCTTTCTAATCTCCTTAAAGGTAGTTTTCACAATTCCAATGAAAAGGTTTTTTTCTTATACAGTTGTATGGTTTTATCATTATTCTGTTAGATATATGTATTAAAATGTATTAAAAGTGGTGTATTTAACCCCAATTCAATCATTAGTTTTATTCATGGGAGAGGTCACCCAAATTCATTTATCATTTTAGTGGTCATAGCACCAAAAAGTCTGAGCATGGATGTCTCCTCAGAGAGGAATGGTGCCATGGTGATACTCTGAGAGCTGGTCTGTGTGAATGTAACAGATGGTGCCTTTCTTTCTAGAATACCACTATATCTATTGTTAGCTGCTTGTTTACCCAGTGAGGAATGCAAACCAAGGAGAACTGAAGGATGTTCTTGTATTGGAAAAAACTGAAGAAATTATGGGAGAAGTGATGAAATATGTTTGAGCCATAACAGAGATGTGGAATTTGGTAGAACAGTCTTCCCCAATCTAGCACCTTCCAGTTGTTTTGAATCTGGAACTCCCAGAATCTCAGGTGATTTGTAATTTCTTCAGTCCTGGAAGGGCCCACATTGAGTGAGTCTGTGTTTCAGTAGAGACCAAAGAACTTCTGGGTCCCTATCAACTAACTGTTGTGATTTGATAATTTCTCCACTTTCTCTCAGGTAGCCGAGAGACCGCCTTCACTTATGCTGTCAGTGCTGCGGGAGTTGTGAATGCCATCAGCCGTGCCTGCCGTGAAGGAGAGCTCTCCACATGTGGTTGCAGCCGGACAGCCCGACCCAAGGACCTGCCCCGGGACTGGCTATGGGGTGGGTGCGGGGACAATGTGGAATATGGCTACCGGTTTGCCAAAGAGTTTGTTGATGCCAGAGAGAGGGAGAGGAACTATGCCAAGGGATCAGAAGAGCAGGCCCGTATACTCATGAACTTACAGAACAACGAGGCAGGGCGCAGGGTAAGATAATTTTAATTCTTTCCTATTTCCCTATAGAGTAACTTTCCTAGCCCTGTGCTCCTAGATGTGTCTGACTGGAATTCCCTTTGCCCCAGCCAATATGGCCACTGAATGCTATCACTTGTTCCATGGCTACCTTTTTATTTATTATTTTAGGAGAGAAAAGAAGAATATTTAGGAAGCTGTTTGTTCCAGTTTCCCTCATCCCAGCCCTGTAGAGAAGTTCATCTTATTTGAGAATGCTAGGCTACGATTTGCTAATGCCAGCATCTTTAACCCTTTAGCAGCATTTTGATCCACAACATGATCTCCCTTCTTGGTTTCTCCATGCTGTAGAAACTATATTCTGGAAGGATGGACAACAAGACATACTGTCCCACTCTGGTTTTCAAGGAAGGTCATCCATCAAGGATTGGAAAAGAATGAAGTTTGTTTCAGTTATAGACACAGTCCTGACCCCATTCCTGCTCCACTACACTCAGCGCTTCAACTTTTAGCTTTATTGCCCTGTTTGTTTATCTTTGACGGTTATCTCAGCTTGCCCTTTCCTCCCATCTGTCTGTTTCTCCACTTGATTTCCGTTTTTGCCTTCTTTCCCATTAGCCTGTACCTTATTGTTCCAAGGGGCTCTTAGGCTTTGGCAGACGTGCTGCATTATTTATCTACACAACATGTAACAGGCCTCCAGCATCAGTCACTCCATCCAATACCAGTGAAGCTGAGGAGAAGCTTGCTTGATAAACTGTATAGTAATTCTCTACAAATTTGCTTGAGATTACATCTCTTATGAGAGAAGAACCAAAAAGGAATTTGAGGTGGAGAGTAACAGAAGGGCTGACATAAGCAAATCCCTTTGCCAGATCCTTGCAACTTGATACAATGGGTTGGCTTTTCAAGTGCAAATGTCTTAGCTTCCTCTGGCGCCTCGGTTCTTGATCTATAGCTCAAATATCTCAACTCCCATTTTTGGAAAGAAAATGTTATAAAGGGGGAAGTCATTTAGCTATTAATTCACTGACATCTCTTTTAAGATAGACACATAGAGTTGAGCATCTAATAAACATACTATTTTGAAGTAAGCCCTGTTGATTTCATTGATCCGAAATGAATTTAGGATTGTGGTGTAATCCCTTTATTTTTGCAAATAGCAATGGTGTTTCTGGAAGGATAGCTGCCACTGAAATTTCAGTGGCTTCCATAGCAAATCCAGGTCTTAACCAATGTTTCCATTGCACATACTAACGTGCACCTCTTAAGGCTGCAAAAAAATACATGCAGTTGTAAACAGCATCAATTGATGTATAATTTCCAAATCATGGGAAGTACTAGTTCCACTTTAGTCTGCGTTGGTCAGACTCCCACCTTGAGTCTTGTGTCTAAACCTGGACAGTTTAAAAAGGATTCAGATAAATTGGAACAGGTTTAGAGAAAGGCTATAAGGACAATTGGAGGACTAGAAACAAAGTCCAATGGAGAGAAATTGAAAGAATTGGATTTTTTTTAGCTTTGAGAAGAAAAGATTGAGGGGGAAGGCAGATTTCAGTTGGATGTCAAGCTTTTTGTAAAAGTAAGAGCAAGTTTAACTGTGGAACCAATTACCCAAAGAGGTGTTGGGTTCCCACTATATATGTTCACGTAAAGGTTAGACAGCCATCTACCAGAGATGCTTTAATTTAGATTCTTGGACAGATCAAGGGGTTGATCTTGGTGGCTTAAATGGCCTCATCTATACACAGTGAATTCAGTTGACACCTCTTTGAACTGATAGCATATCCATTTTTCCCCAACCTGCACTTAAAAAGGGGGTAGGATTCATGTCAATCTTCAAGGTAGACCAGACTAGGAAACCAAAGTCATGCAGGCTAACACTACTTTTATTATAAAGTTATAATAACAGAATCTTGCAAGACTGAATGCTCTTCCCCCTCCCTTTATTTTTGTGAGAATTAGGGAGGGTCTTGTCTGAGCATTTTCTCAGGGTAAAGTTCTGCCCCAGACACAGGGTTTTTTTATCTGACTGTTGTCTTGATAGTGACTCTTCCTCCTGTTCCTCAAGGTCATTCCTTCCTCCCATTACAATGGTCTTTAGTCTTAACATGGGACGTACTGGCTCTCCTTTATTCAAGACTGGGGCATTTAAAGAGATGATCTGCCACCATAACATCTAGTTTGGCCTCCACCTTCAATTATCAGATGATCCAGTGGAAGTGAGAATAAATCTCCATGCATCTTACTTCTAGTTTCTGTTTGATGCTAAGTTATTCATTTGTTCTGTGGACACTCCCAGAGCATAATAGTTGCGATATGTAAAATTGCTTTTCCTGCCTAAAAGCTTTATGTATCTTGTGTTCACCTCAGTGTAATAAGAAATTAATAATTTGCTGGACCTTAACAGGAAAAGCAGGGGAAAGTAATTAATTAATAGATGGATCATTCCAGTTTTTTTAATCTATATAGCAAGACTTTTGAAGAAATTCAGAATGCTGGCTGGGGAATTTTGGGAGTTTAAGTCCACACATCTTAAAGTTGACAAGGTTGAGAAACACTGCCCTGTACTAATATTATCATATGTACAAGAGTTGCTGATTGTAAAACGCCAAGGGTGTGATGTTTTGCACATGCTTAAAGGCCTGAAAGCAAGCAAGCAAGGTTAAAAGATCAAGGCTGCAAACAATACTGAATTAAAATCAATATATAAATACAAGAAGGAAATGCAGCAGTTCAGAGGTCAGAAAATAATAATCCCTAATAATTATCAGCCTCTTACAGTCCCCTAAAACCATCTAAAAAGAGGCATCTGGGTTAAGGAAAGAATAGTGGGGGAATCATGTGAATTTCCCTGGAGAGCACATTAAAGAGTTAAACTGCTGCAGCTGAAAATGCCTGGTTTTTACCTACACCTGCTAAACCTGGGGGTGACAGGTACCCTTGGTGTAATGAGACTTTTCCCCTGGCTAGGAATTTTGGCTGATGTAGGCCTAATATATCTGGAAAAGCATCAAGTCAGAAAAGACTGCTTTTTGTATCAGTAACCCGATTCCTAGCAACTGAGGATTTTGAAAGGGAGAATGAGGTTCTTGAATTAATCCTGTTCACAGTATTTTAAATCTTTTCTGGCATTTTTCTGCTACTCTTCTGTGTGGGACCCACAGCAAAGGCCTGATGGAAATTTTATTCAAAAGATACACAGAGAAAACACAATTATTTTTCCTAATACTGATATAGCTGCTGGTTTGAAATCAAACGAAGAAAAATATAAATGCAGCAGATTCTAGACAGCAAAAGAAAAGACAAATGTCCAGTGTTTCTGAAAATCTTCAGGCACACCTATATTTCTTTATGTAAAGAACTAACAGCGTCCCAGACTTAAAAAGTCGGAACGGCCTCCATGTTCTGCAGCCTTGGTGGTATGTCTCTTTTTGAGTGGATTCTTGGTTCCAGACCATTTCTTATGTTGGACTGGGCCCAAGAGTTTTATTTGCATCGTTCAGTTATCATTACAAATGGCTTTGAAGACATTTTTGGTTATTACCATTTTGTTTGTGATGGACCTAAGCCACACCTCCCACTGCAGCTAAATAGAGCAGACCATAATTTTGCCAGGCAGAAGAAGCAAGATTGGTTCAGTATGTCCGTGACTACAGCCAAGTCAGTTTTCTCTCTTGAAGTGGATTTAAAAAGATACCACTGCATTTGCTCAGATTTGGACTGATGTCAGTTTTTTGATATAAAAATCAAACGTAAGGACTAAAAGTTAAAGCACAGATTTTTTTTTTTTTTTAAATGCATGGCTCCCACGAGGCTTACAGATTTTCTTAAGCATCCAACTTTCTAAGACAGCCAACAATTCACCAGAACCGTTCCTTTCAGATTTGAATATTACCTAATAGAAGCAGGGAACTAATTTGGGTAATGTTTTTTTTTTATTCAAATGATGTGATCTGGGTAGTAAACATGTGATTAAAGTGTTGTGTTTCTTGGAGGTACTGCAGCATATATCAGCTTAGTAAATAAATCTAAAATCATTACCAGTGTAATGATTTACGTCCTGTCTTTCCTGATAGACTTAGGACAGTGTATATATAAAAGATTCCCAGGGAATTTTCCGCACAGACCTTAATCAGATCCATTCCTGCTTAGCTACATAAGATTTCTGTACCACATTCCTTCAGACAATTAACTTGTCTATGCATTCATCATCTCATCTTCTATGCTGAAGTGATTATTTCATTTTAATAATTAATGGCACTTTCAGTCTTAGTATAATTTTTAATTTGCCATGCAGAACAAAGGAAGAGGACATTTCAAGGCTGTGCGTATAATTAGGGTTATTATGCATTTATATTTACATACAAAATGTAAAGAAAACTTTCAAACTTTGATCAGTCTGAGTTTTTTTCCAGATGTTGAATTGCTTATTGTCAGGTTAACTTTCAAGATACATATAAGTCACAACCATCCCACACATGTTATAAGCCCAAGCATTTAAATGATTGTGGCAATAAATAAAAGAAAAAAATTTATAGCTACAAACCTAGTATTTGATAATAAGCTGTAGGCAACTTCAGTTCTTTGATGACATGTCTGCGAAATGTATATATTTCCAAATAGGTATTTATCTGATTCACAAATAACATTTTTAGGTGCAAGTTTTCTTAGAAATATGTAATAAAGTAATAATGGAAAAGGGAATTGATTGGCCACTAGGTGGCGAACAAGATGCAAATTGCCTTCTCTACAGTAATGTTGATTACAATTGTACATTTCAAACTCAGAATTAGAACTTGACATGAAGGCAGGATCATTCAACCTGAATTCTGCCTATTTCCTATAAAATGCATGTAGAAGGGTGAACATGAAGTGGAAGAGCAGTGTTGAAACTCCTCATAGAGTTTCATGTTCCATTGCTGATCAGTTTGGGGTGAGGATTGGGCCTAGAATCAAAGAGCATGGAAACAGATTGTCAAAACAGTCAGAAAAGCCTTACATGAGTGGGTTGTACTGCAAACATCTTGATCAAGAGTCTCTAAGACTGTCAACCCCCTGAAGTAGACCAGGTCAGGAACAGACACCACAAGAAACTGTCAGCCCTTCGAGGTAGGCCAGACAAGAAGCACAAACCATGAATACTAATACTATCTTTACTGTAAGGTTAGAGTAACAGAACCTTGAAGTCTGAAAGCATTTCTCCCTTCCTTTACTTTTACTTTCCAGAAAAATAGGGAGGGTTCCTTCTGAGATGCTTCCCACGTCCCTTTTCCTTCTGTGGGCTGAGATACCTTTTGCATGATGGTTGTCTAGGCTGCAGCTCTTCCTCCTGTCTCCCAAGGTCATTCCTACATCCCACTACAGAAACATTAGAACTCTACGTTATTGATGTAGGCCATAATGAGAAAATCTTGAAAACCTGACAGAATTTCCCATTTCCTCCCTCTTATATCAAAGAGAGTCAAGGTGGGGCAATCTTAAGTTTATTTCTCATGCGTTCTTGTTTTCCGGGGCTGAACTGTTTTACTAATATTATCGGTGTATCTTTTCCGAGGTCATTTCAGTACTCCTCTACCAAAACTCTGTACCTGACATTTTTTGCTAGAGGAACACTGAATTCTTAAGAACAAAGGGGCAAAAAGGACCTCTTCCTTGATAAGGCTGTCTGTTTCTAAAACAATTCTGTTCTAGAAGTGATTACCTCCAAATTACTGTGAACAGAAGGACTCCCCAAAAAGAGATGCTCAGCACCCTCTTCACTGGAACATGGATACTGAAAGACAATGCCAGGGGCTTTGCCACAAAGGGTTGAGTCTGTACAGTGGACACAATGTCTTCCATAATTATCAAGTGGCCTGAATGTCACAGAGAAATTTATGAAGATAAAATTGATTTCCAAGATGAAATCTACCAGAATACAGAAGTTGGGTAGAGATTCAGCATACAGTGAAATACTCAGACGAGAACTGAAAAATGCAGGTTTAGATCTTCATTTGGCTACACATTTCAGAGGGCGATCCTGGACCAGGTACTCCCTCTCAACATAACTACCCAGAGAATATACTGCACTGTATATCAAATCAAGCAATTTGCAGCTCTAGGAACACATGTGGTCTTTGGCTTCTTTGGGCTTTTAGTGGCCAAATTTCAAAAATCCTGTATAACCACGTAACTGGTGAAAATGGTCTGCCCCTTCCCTAGCAGTTTACTGCATGGGGAAGAAGAAGGAAGAGACAGAAAGGTGGGGGGGAGGAGAAAGAGAAAAGGAGAGTACCCCAGCCTACACTCTGTTAAAACATGGCCCCCTAAAATCAAGTAGAGAAATGCATAAAATAAGCAGGAGAAACTGCACATACTGCTCTGAGCAGCTTAGTGGGAAATAAAGGATACGCTCTAAATATAATAAAAAAAATATTTTGGAAAGTCTTCAGTATTATCCACACTTATCAACTCAGCACAGTGGAATTGACTCCTGCGTCAGCAAGCGTATTACCTGGTTAGATCATCCTGCTTCTTGATGTTGAGTTGACAAAATGGGTTTTCTCTTCTGCAGGCAGTGTACAAGCTGGCTGATGTGGCTTGCAAGTGTCACGGAGTCTCAGGGTCCTGCAGCCTCAAGACCTGCTGGCTGCAGCTGGCTGACTTCCGCAAAGTGGGGGACCTCCTGAAAGAGAAATACGACAGTGCTGCCGCCATGAGAATCGGCCGCAAAGGCAAGCTTGAACTAGTGAACAACCGCTTCAATTCGCCTACCCCCGAGGACCTGGTCTACATTGACCCCAGTCCGGACTACTGCCTGCGTAATGAGACCACTGGCTCCCTGGGCACCCAGGGGAGGCTGTGTAATAAGACTTCAGAGGGCATGGATGGATGCGAGCTGATGTGTTGCGGCCGGGGCTATGATCAGTTCAAGAGCGTGCAAGTAGAGCGTTGCCACTGCAAGTTTCACTGGTGCTGTTACGTCAAGTGTAAAAAGTGCACAGAGATTGTCGACCAGTACGTCTGTAAATGAAAGGCCAGCCAGAGCTACAAATCTATATGATATAAATCTATATAAATCTATTTTATATATTTGTATAAATAAATAGATGAAGATGTTGATGTTGATGATGTAATAATAATAATAATTATTAAAGAAGCTTATTTAAGAGACTAAAATGCTTCTATTAGAACGACTGAGGGGTTGGGCGGCTCCTTTTTAAATTATTTAGTCATGGAGCAAGGCAAAAAAGAGGAGGGATGGGATTTCTGTACTTGTTCCCTGCAACCCTTGAAACAACTCAGCCAGAATAAACGGGAAACTTGAGGTACGTTGCTGGCTCTGGACGCTTTGCCACAGAAGCAGTGAGAATGGTGGTGGTGGCGGCGGTGGTGAGGTTCCTTCTGCTACTTGATAGCCGAAATTCAAAGAAGTTACGTGTGTTTTGGGGGTACAGCCAAAGAAAGCGCTTTAGAAGCTCAGATGAATTTCCAAAAGGACTTGAAGCAGTTCTCTCTTCTTAACAAAACACTATGGGATGCCAGACTGCCAAAAAGGAAAAAAAAAATGTCCATTTTAATCCCAAAGACCGATTTCCAAGACACAATCCATGCAAGACTGCAGCACGAGGGCCATGATTCCCCTGCGTCGAGGGCTTGAAGGAAACATTTACCTTTGACTTTAGAAGTGTTGCTCCGTCCTTGTCTCATGAAAGACAGCCTGCATCTGGTTCTCCTACCTTTTGTGGAATCGGGTGGGTGGGGTAGTGGGGTGAGGACAGAATTCTCTAAAGCCCTGAAAAACGCAAAGCTGTCAAAGGGATGATTTTCTTCAGTTGGTTGATCTGGTTTTTGCTTGTGGAAAAAGAACTGGCAGGGGGCCTGTTGTGCCTATGTGAACTGGTTGGGGAAGAGACTGTATTCTGCAGAAGTGCCTTTGAACTTGAAAAAGACAGATGTGTGTGAGATTTTACAAACTTGCCAGTCTCTACATGGACTTGAATTTGAAGAGCCATAGGGGCAGTTCTTTCCTTGTCCACTTGCCACTATACAAGATGTACAGTTACTTTTTAATATTAAATATCCCTTGTTCTTGCCCTCTCCCTTGCTTTTGTGAATACATTTATTATCTGTTGCTGCTAATGCATTTCATAGCATAGGACAGTGTTGTCCAAACTTGGCCACTTTAAGATGAGTGGACTTCAACTCCCAGAATTCCCCAGCCAACCTTCCTAATCTCCAACCTGATTGTCGTGTTCTGTTTTGAGATGGTAAAGTCACCAGAAATTATTTTTTAAAAAGTGAATGTTTCCTTACATGGCAAGAATGGGTTCCTCATCCTGAAATACATTCAAAACGGGGAGAGATGCCAATGAAATACTCTCACCCAGCTTTCCAATTAATTCCAGAACAGGGAATCCCTTATTTTTTCAGTACCACCAACTTTGATAGTTCCTATTAATGAACAATAATGCCATTAAGCCTTTCTGTGCTTCCTGGTCCCCTGGGTAGAATATTACAATAACTAGTATTGCAGTCATCCCCTATTTGCTAAGCCTGGTCATACGAAACTATTCAAATCATTTTAACAATGCAAATCATGGGTGTTGGCTGATGGCACAAGGCTGTGACTTATCCGTTGACACAGAGTGAAATTTGTTTCACTTGAAATATTCACGCCTGTAGAAATAATCTGGCAAACAAAAAAAGAATCCTATCTCACAGCATTGGTGTGAGGAAAAATAAGGAGAAATATACTCTACCTTGACCTTTTAAATGATATGAAATGGTAAATAAATAAAATAATAAAATAATCATTACTTGTTCTGTGACACAGAAATCGGAATTTCAGAGAAAAGTCTGAAGATTACTCCATTTTCTCAGGCCCACAAATTGGCTAGAAAGTCAGGTAAAAGGATCAGTTGATGCAGAAAACCTGCTGCCAGCCAGAGTAAACAATACAAGGCTTGATGGACAAATAGTCTCCTCTATAAGATAGCTTTCTATGGTCCATGTAGGTGATGATATTATACATGAAGTTGTCCTGGACTTTCCTTGAGATTTCAATAGTAGAGGCCACAGAACTCCTCAGAGAGAGCTCTGAAGTGGGAGGCGGGAATCCAGCCTTGGAAACCCCATTGACAATCCCCTCCCACCATCAGGTACAAAGTGTTCTTCCCAGTGCCATAATCTCCACTCTCAAGAAAGGGTCAAAGGAGATGTGGTTGAACTGGACCAAAAGTGAGTTAAGAAATCCCTCACCAAAGCAGAAACAGGAGGAACAGCAAACCTTGAATTTTATCTTGTTGGCCTGCAAGGCACTGGGATGATCTGACGTGTCCTGTCATCATTATTGTGTAATGCACAAATATGTCTATAAATACAGATAAAAGATATAGAGATACAGATACGAACACGCACGCTTTTTCTGAAAATCACCATGTACTGAGTGCAAGTTCATGAATAAGGACAATTTTCTTGCTTTCTTTCCAGTGAATTATGGATGGATTTTTTTTTCAGTACCGACAAATCTAATTTCTAATTGGGCAAGAATAAATAAGGCAAAAAATTATAAATATTTACTGACCATATTCTTATTATTTGGAACACTTAAAAAATAATCACCTTCATATGAATTTAAAAAATGGCATTATAAGGAAGTAAGATCTTATTTGAATGCTGGATTTTTACAAGTTATTTTTGTGTCTAACTGCTTTTTATAATTTCTTAGAATTTCTGCTATCAAAGATGTCATTAATGTTTTCTGGAAGTTTTTGGGGGTATAGAATAATATATAACAGAAAGAACATATAGTATGGGAATTTGCTTTATAATTTAGTTTTTTTCCCAATATTTTAAATACATTATTGGTGCATTTCTTGGCACTTAAGAAACTTATTGGAATACACCACATGAACTAAATTTATGATCCTTTAGATAAAATCCCAAGCCAATGATACTATAATTCAGAGCAATGAAAACTGTTTTCCACCCATGGAAAGAATGAGAAGATGATGAGATCCAGCTCCCTGAAAAACTCAACAGGAATTTGAATAATCCCCAAATCCCATAAAGTATATGAGCTACACATGCCTGGAATATACTACTTCGTAAACAGTAAAAAATCATTTTTATTTATATTTTTTAATTGAATGATCACATTTCTCTCATTATTTATTCTCCCATCTCTCTCACGCATATAGCATTTGTTTTATTAAAAACAAGTTTTAGAGTTAAAAAAAAACAAGTTTTGAAATAGTTACTGAGGAGTGACATTTCCTGGATTAGAGGACAATTATCCCTGGGAAAGGAAGTCTGATTGCAGCCAATAAAAAGGGAGGGAGAGATTAATATAAAGTCATTTATTGCTGTTCTTAATAGAAAACACGGGGAACTTTCCATGAACTTTATAAATGAGTTTTTAGCAATTCTTCAGAAATGTTATTTTCCTTTGGAATATACTTATATTCTATTCCCTATCCTGCCCCACAAGAAATGAGCAATATTAAAATTTTAAAGCAACTTGATAAGGTAGTTTACCAAATCGCCCAGTGATTTAGAACTGAACAAGGATTGGAATCCAGACCTTCCACATCCACCCTCATATTCTAGATACTGAACTGACAAGGTTATAATTCTGTGGACACTTTCCTGAGACTTGCTGCATTGAACTGGATGGTATTTCCTTTTGAGTAGACACAGGATTTAAGCACAATCCATGAAACAGCGTGCAGACCTATAATTAAAGTAAATATGGATGTGATAATGGTAAAAAGCAATTGGGCAGAATTGTGTATTGAAATTTTAACAGGCAGCAGAGTATGGATGATACTGGTAGATAAGATTTTGTAGATAAAAAGGTACAGTAGTTATGGAGAGGCGTGATTGAAAATTTTATTTATTTATTTATTTATTCATCACCTCTATATAGCCGCCCATCTCACAAACATGGTTCCATGCAGCGTATAATAAAAACAAGCCATAGAAGAAACTGAACAGATATCATAAAGATGAAAGGCTATTGTGAACCCCTGTGTTTCTTTCTACTTACATATTAAGAAATGATTCCAAGTATCTGATTTTGATTCTTATAACCATTGCCTGGCTCTTTCTTAATTTACAATGAATTCGTGTATTTGTTGCTGGAATATGGAGGGGAAAAGTGCCTTAAACCACAGGAAACCCTCAGCTTAAAAGAGTGGCAATTTCCAAAATTTGGGCTAGAGAGAGAGTTGTGAATTTTAAAATGCAATTTCAAGTACAGCTCGGTAGGTATAATTACTCTTGATTGCAAATCAATATATTCAGCTCTTACCTCTTTCATGAACCTGCTCTACCACTTTGGGTGAATGTTTTAATTTGTTCCCTACACCATTCCATATACTGCTTTGAGAATAAGGATGCTTGCCTTTGTTTCTGTTTTATTCTACATAATCCATTGCTGTGACATGTTTTAATACTGAAGGAGCAATCCTATCTCAGTCTTTCCAGCCACCATGGTGATTACTGAGAATTCTGGGAGTTGAAGTTCACACATCTGGAAGACACCCAGATTGGGAAGGCTGCCTTAACCACTATATGAACTATGCTCAGAATTAGCTCATAACATGCTGATGTTCCAAGCAGCTGGCTTTCCCAAGGATCTGAAATGTTCTAGATAATAAAGTGAAATCCTTGGATATTATGCTGCTACACTATTAGTTATTGCTGCTCTACTAATGACGTGAATTGTTTGCGCAATAGCATCAGCTCTGAATGCATTTTTACTTCATTTTTATTTTGGATGTTATACAGCAACAGGAATCTGCTTTTACTGCTTTTTTCCCCCCACTTTTGCAGTGAAGGCTCCTGAGCAGGGAGGGTTGTTTTCAGAACCTCCGATGTAATAAAACAATGCTAATTCTACTGGTTACTTAACTGAACTGTCTTCTGACCAAGAAAAAGATTTTGGGATCATATTGAGGATGATGTCAATTCTGAAACAATGTAAATGTCATGTTAGAGATCATTATGAAAGGAATGAACAGTATTGAGAATGGTGTATGTCTTTCATCTCCACTTCAAGCACCCCAGAAGCATGAGGTTAGCTGCTGTGAGAAACAAAATGTTGTACCAAGAAGGGTGCTGTTATGAGCCACCAAAGCTGTTCTTATATACTTAGCACTCAAACTTAATCAAATCAGAGCCTATACATTTAGGTGGGATGAGGAGACGGTGGTCTTCCAGATAAGGCTGATCTACAATTCCCAGCAGCATTGTTCAGCATGGCCAATGATGAGGGACGTTGTGGTTGTAATTCAACAACTGGCCATCCACAGATTCTTTCTTCATCAATAATGCAATGTTATTCACCAGGGGGAAATCAACTGACAGTAAATGCCTTGTGTTGTCATTCATATCAGCACTACTTTCTTGTTTATCCCATTATTACACATACAATCATAAGACAGGCTTAAAGTTTCTGGTTAATAGGTTATAGGATTTTTTTTCTGAAGGCCCTGGCTCTATAGAGCTGTCCTCTCTGTTGCTTGTCACTGAAGATGAGGGGTATGCTATGGTGACCATACATGCTTTATTTCAGAAAGCTATCCTTTGGATTTTTCAAAAACTCACTTTTGTCCTTTATTTTGGTCCTTTTAACTTTTACAGTACCATACAAATGGTACCACTTAATGCACAGTCTGATTGCAGAAATTCTTTTTAATACTTGCTTAATACTGTTTAATACTTTATTTAATACTTAACACTTTTTAATACTTGCTTCATATCTTTTTATGCTTTTTAGATATTTTAATTAGAATATGCATTTTTGTTTTTCTTGGTTTTGCTCTTGAATTTTCCTTTGTAAAGCAAAGTTATAAACACATTTTTTGTTTATCCTTATGAACCTCTTTCAGATTTGTCCTTTATTTTTTCCAAGAAAATATGGTCACTGTAGGTATAATCGTCCTGGATAAGGAGCTTCCCTGTTATTTTAAACAGGGTATGGTATAAATTGCATGCCAGGCAACTCTATGAGGTTTGGTGCATCCCATTTGCTGAAACTTTGGAGTTAGCTTAATTTAGGAAAAGTGAGGATAATGACTTCTGTACCTTTGAGTACCCTTTCAGGTAGGGTTACTCACACATCAGGAAGCAATTTAAGTTGCAATTACTAGTCCAACTACTTTAGGCTTCTGGAGTCCTTGGTGCTCTCTGAGCCTGGTTGTTTGCTTGCAAACGTTTCATTACCCGGGTAGGTAATATCATGCCTGGTTGGCACTGATGATGTTACCTAGTTGGGTAATGAAACGTCTGCAAGCAAACAACCATGCTCAGAGAGCACCAAGGACTCCATAGTTCAATCCTGAGCTGCGTATATTCTTTTCTACTTTACCTTAGGCTTATTTACTCAAGAGCTACCAAGTCCTACCTACTTGAATGGGACGCCAGTGCCGGTAACCCAACCTAATAACTGCCATTTCTTCCTTATATTTTAAAACACCCCAAACGTCGCTAAGCGGGACCGAACCTAGATCCTCCCGAGCCTCCCTCCTCCCACAGCGCTTCGGCTTACGCCTCCGTTCCTAGTCACGTGCCCCCCAGTTACTACATTGCCCAGGGTGCATTGGGCCGAGTGAGACCCGCTCCTTCCCTCACGTCTTCTGGCGTGGCCGATGCGTGCGACCTTCGCGGCCAGGCGGGCCCTGATTGGCTTGCGGCGCCTCTTGCGATGATGACGATATAGGGCAAAGGGGAACGGAAAGCAGGGAGGCGGAGCGGAGGCGGCCACCGCGGCGGAGGGGGCGGGATTCCCGGAGGCGCCGGCGGCACCGTGGGG